AAGTTTGATAAATGGAGAGGCACAGGCATCATAGCACTGAAAGTTAAGAATTTATCCATAGGGGATAGCAGGTAGCATAGTGGTTAAGATGCTGGACTCCCATGAGGCCGACTGTGGTTTGAGTCCCAGACCTGGTAGCTTGAAAATCATGCTGTCCACATGTGCATGCATTCCCAAAATCCCAGGAGGAGAATGGAGGAGAAGGGATTGTAGTGTGACCATCTCCAGGGGGGTGGTTTCTCACTTTCTCTCTCACTGTCTCTGCCTCTGGTGAGCACACCCACCCTATGGCAAAAACCTCAAGAAATAAGAAAAAAATCCATAAACATAAGGGTAGGAACATTTTAGAGAGCATGGTAATCCGAGTGAAATATAAAGAAAAGTTATCTATTGGAAATTCCATTGGGCCCTAAGGAGGGATCAGACCATCTGCCCTCTGCACTGTTAGTGTTTAAATGAAAATATCAAAGGTAAGGTAAAATCCTGATGCTAAAATGGAAGTAAACAACATAAATAAAAGTAATAAAATACATATGTTAGGTATAATGTAATTTAAAATAAGAATGAAGTAGATGACATCAATGAAACGGGTTCATTTATTCATCAAATTCCTATTACAGAAGTTCTGAATGGGCACCGAGAAAGGTTGACTACATAGAGTGGACAATTCAATATGGTGCCTTTCCTCGTGGAGGTCCTATGTTAAGAAAGTAATTGTAATAAAGAATAGCAAATGCTAGCACAGCAGGATGCTTTGAAAATGTAAGGAGTTTTCTGCTCGGTTCAAATTGAACATGAACATTTATGAAATAAGAAAGTAGGATTAATAGTGTCACTAGAACACATATGAGGTCCAGAAAGCAAAGACCAGAACAAATGGAGACTTAGGAAATGTTCTAAGACAATTGGAAAGGAATTTTCGTCATGTTCGGAACAGAGAAATGAATATTGAAAGATGAGTTATGCAACTTGCACAAGACAGTAGAATTTTGAGTTGGTGGAATTGTTCCGCTAATTGAGTTGATCTCCATCAAAGAAAATAAATGGACCAGACAGGGTCTGAGAGGTTATTAAAGCCCAAGGTAGAAGAGAAGTTGTACAAATCTAGCTTAAAATAATTCCATGTCTAAAAAAGCAGACTAATGAAGTCATAGCGTCCAACTGTAGGCATGGTTTGAGAAACTGGGAAGGGAGGATAAAGGTGATAAGAATGTGATCATCTCTTCAACTTTCCATTAATCTGTTTATTTATCCTTAAAAAAAACTTCAGCCCTTTCTGGATGGCAGGCACTGTGCTAATCAGCAGTGACACAAAGTTTAAGAGACCTGAGCCCTGACCTCACTGAGGCTCACACTCTAGTTGCAACCCAGAAGGACACAAGAGCAATTACAGTCGTGTGTGATAAGTTCAATAAGAGAACGTCAGAACCTCAGGCAGTAATTGAGAGAATTGGAGTAATTAACCATACTGGCCAAGATGAAGGAAAATGTCAAACAGAAAATGATGCTTTAGGAGAGCTTAATTTTTGTTAATTCAGGAACAAATGGCTTATTGAACACTAATCTGAGCAGGTCCTTATAAAGGCATCTAACTGATTTTGAAGTATTTCAATAAAGAAGTAGAAAGATATGAGTCAGATGATGTACAAAAGTAGATTGTAACTGATTATGTAACAAAGTACACACACATCAATTGGCAGATCGGTGCCAACAGTTTTTAGTAGCCTGTGATAATGTTCTGTACTTGCACTGATCCAGTAAGTATTTTTACCAAAGCCTTGGATGAACGCATGAGACATAAATTTGGAAATGATAACAAGTTGGGAGGGGAGAGAAAATGTTTCATACAGATTAAAATAGTGCCTGGTTTCTATGGATAGAGATAGTAACTCACATCTAATAAGATTATTATCACATCTAATAAGATTATTATCAATAATAATTGTGAGTTTCTGTTTAAATAAATTAAACACATATGGGATTATGGAGACTCAGTGACATCCGAACCCAGAGGATCTGTTCTGACACAGCGTGCTGTGAACGCACAGTGGACAGTGAACACTTAGTACTGATGTCATGTTGACAGAAGTGTGAGTTCATTTCAGCAAGAGTAACTAGCAATTGTTACTATCACCTGCTCTTCTTAGACTCTGTTGTATATTCTGTTCAGTTCTGGGTACCATGGGTATGATTTTAGGTACTAAAATCGGTTTGGCCTGGACTTGGAGAACAGAGTTACTAAAATAGCAAGAAAGACAAAGAAGGAATTTAAAACCTAAGCAGAGCAGGTAAACTAAAGTAGGGGGAGAAAATGGAAGGGACAGCCTGGAGAGATAATCTATGAGTATCATGAGAGAGATCCCACAAGTGAACTGTGTGTCATCTAAAGAAGTTGGGCTACTATAGCCATGAGAGAAGGAGCAGGCCCTCAATCAGACTAGAGTGGACCCCTCCTCCAGATGAAGGAACTGCAAAGAATTAGAAAAAAGGGCAAAATGGCACCCTCTGAAATGGCTCAAAGAACAAGATGATGCCATGTCTCTAAAACAGCAACCCCATGGGGCAGCAGATGGTGTAGGGTTATGTTGCTAGACACCCATATGGCCAACTGTGATTTGAGTCCCGGACCTGGAGGCTTGAACCTTACGCTGGGTGTGTATGCATGCGTACCCAAGATCCTAGGAGGAGAATGGGAAGAAGGGATTGTGGTGTGGCCATCTCCTCCTCTGGGGAGTGGTTTTTCGCTTTCCTTCTCGCTGTCTCTGTCTCTCTCCAGCAAGCACACATGCCCTAGGTAAAAACCTCTTTAACAAATTTTAAAAAGAATTCATATTTATTCAGGTAATAGAAAAACATTGATATATTTAGAGTTATCAAGTAATGGACTAAGCTCTACAATGATAGCCAACAGCAATTGAAAGGATTTGATAACCTATTTTCACACTTAAGAAGTGATATTTTAAAAATGTGGACCAGTTTGAAACATTTGTTAAAAGAGACTACATATGTGTAATGTTTTTCATACTTTTTTGGTGAGTATAATAGTTTACACAATGTTACAGAGAATATGTAAAAACAACTGAAGTTAATTTCTGTCTGTATATGTAACATAGTAATGTATTTTCTTTGCAAAAAAATTCTAATAGTACATACAAGCTTGCAGTTTGGTCACATTTTATATTTCACCCATAAAGATATAAAACAGTATATACATAAAATATTTATAATCCCATTTAATGGGAAAAAAATGAAGTGAAACAACTATCTCCAAATTTAAAAAATCATCAACAGACAAGTAATTTGAAATGAGTGAATTTCAAACTATTTACACTCTTTGCCACAAGATGGCACCATGGTTGCCGCTGGCAAGAATATTTCTTCCAGTTTTTTCTCTGTTTACATAATAATGTAAATTATATATTATGAATTATAATTTGAGCTTTCTAAATAATTAAAATTATCCTATATGAAAGGTGCAAAACATAACTTGCTGTCGTTAGCAAATGAGACGTGTTGGAATCTAACCTCAGTCTTTCACTGCTGTCTAATACTCCTTAGTGAGAATATATTATACTTTCTTTAACAAGTACCACATCAGGGGTCATTTAGTATTTAGATTTTTCCCTGATGCCAAAGACATCAAAAGAACATCCCTGAAGAATTATTATTGTATAAGCGGACAAGTGTGTCTGAAGTATATATATTCCTCCAGGAGACATTTCTGGGTCAAAGTAAATTAAATTTTTTTTTTTTAAAGAGGTTTTTGCCTTAGGATAGAGTGCATGTGCTTTCCAGAGAGAGAAAGAAGAAGTGAGAGGGAAAGTGAAAAATCCCCCCACCCATCATCCAGGGAAGATGGCCATACTGCAATACCTTCTCTTCATTCTTTTCCTGGGATCTTGGGCATGCATGCACACTCACCTGGAGTGATTTTTCAAGCCACCGGGTCTGGGCCTCGAACTGTGGTGGGCCATGTAGAAGTCCAGCAATGTAACCGCTACACTATCCGGTGGCACCTAAATGAATGTTTTTAATGCTGATAATTATGGTCAGGTTGTTGTATTAAAAGGTTCTAACAACTTAAGCTCTAACCTAAAATTGTGTAAGGTTCATTTTTCCTCATATGGCTATGACTGAATAGTTTCTATCTTTTTAAATGTTGGACTCTGATATAAAAATGTTTTTGCTGTTAAATTAATTGTTCTTTAGTGAAGTTGAGTATGTTTTAAAATTTCTAGTGAGTTTTTGTTCGGTGATCTGTTCATCACTTGTTCATTTCATTTGTTTTAGGGCAGGATGTTCTTTTTCTTTGGAATGTGTCAGCTTTTCATGTGTTATGGATATTAGTCATTAGATTGTTATACTTGTTAGAAACATTTGCTATTAATTTGCCATTTATCATTGTACTTTGATAATGGTATCTTTCATAGCAAATCATTTTTAATTCTTAGGTGATCAAACACGAGAATCTGTTTTCTCTTACGGCTTCTGGATTTTGTTTTGTTTTGCTTTAAAAGAGATTTTCAAAATTTTCAAGTTCTGCAAAGGTATTAACCTTTGTTTGATTATAATGTAATCTTAGGAGTTTCTTTTTACATTTAGTATTTTTGTAAATGTGAAATTCTGTAGTACAATTTTCTCAGTGCCGTATGTTCAATGAACATTTTTCTTCTCCAATGCTTCAAACCATTAGCTTTATCATGAACTAGTTTCAAATATACATGGAACTAGAACCAGAATCTTAACAGTTGACCAAAATCTTAACATTATCACAGAAATAAATGCAGTGAATTATAGAATTAGCCCCTTTCCTGGCGAAGGGGGAGACTAGAACTATGGGATGTGCAGGAAATCCTATGACTACATTGACAAGTGCCCTGACCCTAAAAACTCATTTTCCTTATTTCAAGTTCAGTGTTTTCCTATTCTGCTACATACTGTGATCTGAGACCAACAGGAAATAGGTCACTTCATCCTCTTTTATCTTGATTCTCTTTCAGTTACAGAGTCTCCTGGCTGCAGTAGGTCCCCATGCCAGAATGGAGGCACGTGTATAAGTGGAGGGACTGGCTTTATCTGTGCTTGCCGACATCCCTTCACTGGTGACAACTGCACTGTCAAGCTGGTAGAAGAAAATGCATTAGCCCCAGGTAAAAAAGTACGCATGTCCTTCGATGTGTATGTCAATGTCATAAACAGACACGTCTTCTGAGAGTATTTATGAATGAATAGTTAAGCCTGCTTAATCTGTGTCCACATGAAGATTAATTCCTTCAACTTCTGAAGTAATGTACTTGGTGTACAAGTGGAAATGCCTTTTTGTCCAGTGAATTCATATTTACATGTACTTGTTGAAATGTTCAATGTTGGGATACCAGAGGCAGCTTATTAAAAAATCGAATCCTTTTCCCCACTTTTTTTTTCCCCTTGTGGACCTTAAAGGAGAATACAGATGCATGTATACATGCTTTTTTTTAAAAAAATTTTTTGGTCAAGCAACTTGTAAAAAATACACCTCTGATGCATGTCAGAGATGGTCATTTAATAAAGCTTTAATACACGTTTAGGAACATATTTTAAGCCACTAGTGCCATTTTGACCATGTGAGGATTGTTAGAACATGCTCAAATATATGGACTAAAATAAGGTACCTTTTTTTTGTCTATTTGATTTAATAAGGGTTGGTTGCTTTAGATTGCCCTCAAGAGCACTCCATTTCTGATTTTTTACAGGAAAATATATGCAGCATTTAAGATATTTTCTCTTTAATGACAACAAAAAAACCCATATTTTAAATCAGGCTTTTCTTAATATGCTGCATAGCAAGTCATACATTTTTTAGTTTATTTTTATATCTCAGCCTTTGTGGGTACATTTGGCATTAATTACACAGAAAATTGCTTTTGTCTACTTTCCTATCGTGAATATGACTTCATTTGGTTTCCATTTTAGCCTCTAGAAACTGTTTGACAAGGTGCTGGAAAAATTGTTTCTACATCATGTCAGCTTCAATTCCTGCAAGGGGCTTTAAAACATTCTGGCACACCATAATAATCATAGAGTGCTTTGAATTCCTTTATCTCTGGGGAGATCAAAGCAACATGCAAATTCACCGTTGAGGCATTTATGGAGGGGAAGTATCAAATGTTATTTTTATTCTATCCTGATTGAAATGGATAAACTGAGGCTTTGAGAGACTGAATGATATTCAGTCGAGAGAAGTGACAGGCATTGGACATACATACTCTTGTTAAATTTGATAGAGTACTTTTTTCCTTCTGTTAAGCCTTTTTGTAACTGCAGTAAAACGATAAGATTTGAGGAAAAACAAAACAAGATAAAAACATGAAAATTCACTCTTGCCATTTTTTTCCTCTAACAGATTTTTCCAAGGGCTCTTACAGATATGCACCGATGGTAGCGTTTTTTGCATCTCACACGTATGGAATGACGACACCTGGTCCTATCCTGTTTAATAATTTGGATGTCAATTATGGCGCTTCCTATACCCCACGAACTGGGAAGTTCAGAGTTCCGTATCTTGGAGTGTATGTTTTCAAGTATACCATTGAGTCATTTAGTGCTCATGTCTCTGGGTTTTTAGTGGTGGATGGTAGAGACAAGCTTACCTTTGAGTCTGAAAATATGAACAGTGAAATCCACTGCGATAGGGTTTTAACTGGGGATGCCTTGTTAGAATTAAATTATGGGCAGGAAGTGTGGCTGCGACTCGTAAAAGGGACAATTCCAGCCAAGTTTCCTCCTGTTACTACATTTAGTGGTTACTTGTTATATCGTACGTGAGTTACTATGAAAGACAGGCTACCACCTTTCCTGAGAGGCAGCTAGTGTTCGTGTTTATCTTCACATGCACATCTGCTCTGTTTTGTTTTGTTTTACATCAAATGTAAACCAGCTTCTTTTTTAATCCGAGTAAAGCTGTACCTTTGTTCATTTTATAAAATTATTTGCCTATCTTCTAGATAGCCTGTACAAGAAGGAGTTTTTGAACCTAAAGTAATTTAGTGTCACAGAAAAGAAAATGCATTACTTTTGTTCCTTCATTTTAAGTCATTTCTTCATAGAGTAATATTCAAAAATGACAATCAGGCAACATTATCACTCACAGCAGTATTCCAGGAGTCACTTAGCTTTTGTTATTTCCTGTGCATATAAATATAAAGTATACATTTCTTAGATCTTGATGCCAATAAATGACTCCAAGACCAAAAAATGCTTTTATAACTTTTATTTCTAGTCTTTACTGTTGAGTTGATCAATTTTAGAAACTACAATTTTCATCTGTAATCAAAATTAAGAAAGCTGAAGAAAACACTTGCAATTATCTTAACTACTGTCCTCTTCCTATAATTAGAAGATAAAAGAATGACACGTTTGGACATTTGTTTTCAAGTTTAAGGACATATAAGTGGGTCGTTTACCTGTCTGTTTCACGCGACATCTGCGGGAGGAAAATAAACTCTTTTGTAATATGAGTCTGTCTATGATGTAATGTGGATGGACTCCTGTTCTTACAAAGAGCAAGTAATCATCGGTGAGATTCTGTTATTTCTATGATGCTCACTATACCCTGGTTCTCTTCAAAACAATTCGATTATACTGTCTCATTAATTCTTTATAATAACCCTTATAAGGTAAGTACCATTACCATTATTTTTATAGAAACTAAGACACACAGAGGTTAACGAATGAACTAAGGCCCACAGCCTGGAAGGATTGAGGCTAGACTTGGAATCAGACTATTTCTTTCTCTGAACTCACATTCATCAGTCTCTGTTGATTCCCACAGATCTACCAAAAGATATTTAACTAATTTCTTATCAATGTATATTTAGGTTGTTTTTATTTTTTTTAGAAAGACAGAAAGTAAGAAATCACCCCCCAAGGGGATAGCCACAACAATCCCTTCTCCTCCATTCCCCTCTTGGGATTTTGGGCACACAGGTTGTTTTCATTTTTTAAATTATAACAGTATTGTTGTAATGAACATCTTTAAAAATACATTCCATACATACTTGACAAAGTACTTCTAAATAACATATTCCCCTAAGTAACAGTAAAAATAATAATAAATTTGGGGTATGGCAAGTATTTTTAATGAATTAATTTATTTAATGCTCACTATAACTGTATGAATTATGTATTAACCTGTGAAATACATTTCACATATTATCATCCTTCCGTTCGTGAGGAACAAAGACACATAGAGATTAAGTCATTTTCCCACTACCACAGCAAATGATGGAGAATTTCTGAAACAAAGGATAAACATCGTTTTCAACTTTGATGGATACTACTAATTGCCCTTAAAAACATTTATGCCAGGGACCAGCAGTTAGCGTAATGGCTATGTCGCTGGACTCCCATGTAGCCGACTGGGTTCATGTCCCGGACATGAACGGGCCAGGCGCATGTGCGTACATGCCCAAGATCCCGAGCGGAGAATGGAGGAGAAGGGATTGCGGCGTGGCCATCCCCCCTGGGGGGTGATTTCTCACTTTCTGACTCTCTGTCTCTCTGTCTGGCGAGCGCACGCATCCTATAGCGAAAAAATATATATATATATTTATGCGAATCTGAAGGTTCACCAATATGAAAAAGCATTCTCTATTTTTCACACATCCTCACCAAAAATCATAATTTTTAAAATATTGCCAATCTCGAAGGTGAAAGTGGTATCTCCCTTTTATAGTGAAATCTGGAAAGTTTTCACACTTACCAAAACTTGAAAGTGTTCGTCCACAGAAAGATTTGTACATGAATGCTCATAATAATTTTATATGTAACAGCCAAACACTGGGAAATACCCACATGTCTAGTACCAGACTAATGGTTAAGCAGACTTTTATATATCCATACAATAAAGTATATCCAAGCAACAAAAAGGAATGAACACACTACAACACCTCTGAGTCTCACAGTAATTACATGGAGGAAGATTTCAAATAGCAGGCTGACAAACCTTGGCCAGTGGTGCAGGGAACCCTCAAGGGAATTTTGTCTATCAGAATGTCCCATGTTAAGTCCAATAGCCAAGGCTTCATGCCTTAGCCTTGTTCAGTACTAAATTCCGGCTGCCAGGGAAGACTATGTATGACCTAGGAGCTGTAAACTGGAGGCTAATGACTGACCATTTCTACCCTGTTAGGTATAAAGTTGTCATTTTCAAAAACATTTGCAAAGTGTTGGTAACTTCCTGAGTCCCTGCCTATAAATTCACTATCATCCAAATTTTCTTTTATTTCTTCAAGTACTCATAGATTAAGTGTAGTTTTTGATGATCAGATATACTGTTCAATGTCTGTTTCAGTGATTTCCATGTATTTTTTTTCTTTACTATTACCCAATCAGAAGGGAGTAAGTCATTTGACAGTCTTCATCATTGCAACTCTTAATTTAATTTATTGATTTCCTAATTGCATAAACAAGAAAATTTAGCCCTAAGTAATGCGTTGTTTTTTAGGAATTTAATTATCAATATTATTATTATTTTAAAATTTTAGATAATTATTTAATTTTATTATTATTATTATTATTAATTTGACCAGAGAGACAGAGAAATAAAGACAGAGGGCAAGTGAGAAAGCAAGCCACCAATTTTGGGACTCAAACCATAGTCGGCCATATGGGAGTCTAGCACTTTAACCACCATGCCACCTATTGCCCCTTATTCTTTATTTTTATATGTATTTGTAGAATACATAATTAAATAACAAATTGCCACTAAATGCCAACCAACAGCTATTGTAATATTTATGTTGCCATGAACTCATTTGACTCTATTTTTAAAAGTCACTCAAATGTAATGTAAGACATTTCAATAATTTATTTCTAATTGTCACATTCAAACTTATCCATCTAGAAAAAATACAGCATTGGTACTTTTCTTGATTTTTTTTTTATGCAGGTAATCAACTATCTTAGATATTATGTGGTAGATTCAATTTCAGAATCCTTCTCTCTCACCAGAACTTCCTGCCTAATAAGCTTTAGAGTATACCAAGACCTAAGTACTGATAACAATCTCAAATTCATTCATTCATTAGTAAGATCTACTTTATGAGAGCATTATAAGTCATATAACATACAATTTAAAAATAAATACCAAATAAGTTAGTGTAGAAAAATGCAGCACTTGAAATACATTGCCTAAATTTATGCTAGTTTTTAATACTACCAAAATCTTGGGTAGTTCTGTAAGAACGGGAAATGGATCTGTAATAATCGCCCTATCTGCACACTTAACCAAAGTTCCACGACCACTCTGTGGGTCATCCCAAGAATGAAAGACTTCATAATCAGAGCCAAGTGTGTCTAAAATTATTCTTCCTCACTCTATTTCACCAATCAAAACTCTCATTTTAGAAGAATCAGCTAATATCATCTAGAAATTAAGAAATGATTAAAATAAGCCATACTGATTGTTGATGACCTATTTAATGTTTTAGAAGGGACTCTTTTGGTGGCTTCTCTATTTCAATATATAAATTTATGAACTCAAATCTTCACAATTTATATAATGTATGAAATATGTTTACATATGGTAGAATTCATATAAATATTGGGTTGTCAGAAAAGTCATGATGTATTTTGCATTAAAAAAACAAATAGGTCATGACTTTTCTGACAATCTAATTTATATATACATAATGTATAACATATATTACATAAATAATATATGAAAAAACATTTCTATTTTATGCATTATATATACATTCAGTTACATTTCACAACACACAACTTATGATTTTTGTTATGAATTTGTCATTCAACTCTGAAGGAGCTGGGTAGACAATTTGAAATCATTTTAGAATTTTTGCTGTGGTTTATTAGTGTCAGATTTTTCACATTGGAAACAAGTTAGTTGTATTTTTTGTCTTCATCAAAGGCACATTTTATTGTAGCAAAATTTCCATCATTATTTATTATTTTTGCCTGTCACATATCATGGTAGGGCACATATGGGACACATAAAAGTAAAAAAATACAGATCCTTCCTGGAGTGCAGAATCTAGTCTCTTGCCCTGTCTAGGACAGAAGTGTGTGCTGCCCCAGTGGTTTCACACCCAGTTTCATCAAGACGCTGAGAATGTTATTAAGCACCTTCCCTGGAGTGCTTTTTACCACAGATGAGTGAAAATTATCAATGAGCTCCACTGCATTGGTGTTTAGAGAAAACAACGACAATGTAGTATTCATTTTTGGGGGCTGACATCCTAATTAAGCAATCTAAAGTTCTGGAAAAAGTCCAAACTTCAGAGTTTTTATTATTTCTATTCATGGGTTTCTTCATGATCTGTCAAAGCCCAAGTTTTAGTCAAAACATTTGCCAGATACCAAGTATCTGAGTCAGTTTGGGCTGCCCTAACAAAATATCATAAACTAGGTTTCTTAAACAAGACATTTATTTCTCTAAATTTTGGAAGCTGTAAAGTCTAAGATTAAAGTGACAGAGGATGGTGAGGGCCCTCTTGGCTTGTAGAAGATAGAAGGCTGTATCCCACTGTTTGATCTTTACATGGGGTAGGGGATAGAAAGAGAGAGAATGTGCTCTGGGCTCTTCCTCTCTTTTTTTTTGGAGAGGTTTTTGCTATAGGGCACATGCACTCACCAGAAAGACAGAGAGACAGAAAGTGAGAAATCACCCCCAGGAGTGATGGTCATGCCACAATCCCTTCCCCTCTGTTCTCCTCTTGGGATCTTAGGCATGCACACACATGTGCCTGGCATGAGTTTAAGCCACTGGATCCGGGACTCGAACCGTGGTCAACTACATGGGAGTCCAGCAACATAGCCATTATGCCAACTGCTGGTCCCTCTTGCTCTTCTTATAAAAACACTAATCCCATCATGACCTCATCTAAACCTTATTAACTTCCAAAGTCCCACTTCCTAATATCATTGGGGCTTAGAATTTCTTTTTTTTTTAAGAACTATTTATTTATTTTTATTATTATTGTTGTTGTTATTATTGTAAAAATTTGACCAGAGAGAGACAGAGAGAGAAAGGGAAAGCGAGAAAGCAACCTGCAAGGTCCAGGACTTGAAGCACAGTCAGCAATGTGGGAGTCCAGAGCCACAACCACCATGCCAGCTGCTGTCTCCGGGGCTTAGAATTTCAACATATAAATTAGGGGGAAGGCACAAACATAGAATCTGTTGCACTAAGTGTTGAATGTTGAGAAATTTAGAATAGATTTTAAAACACTGTTTTCATAGCTTTTAAAATATCAGTTTGTTGACTCTGGTTGTAATGTGAATCCCTATTAGTTAGATTCAAATAACTTTTTATATCAAGCTTACTGAGGTTAATAGTAAAAGTGCTTTTTTTTTTTTTCTGATAATACATCAAAAAGACAAAAACTGAAAGTAAAAACCCTTGGAGTGAGTGGGTTTTTTTCCAATGTGTTCTTTGTATGTGAATACCTACTTAGATTCCCTATTT